CGTGAAGGATACAAATTTGTCTGGTTGCAACCTTTACACAAATGAAGTGGATGTTGTAACGCCCACAAATTTGGGTAGTTAATTTATAGATAATAAACATTAAAAATGACTTTTTGATAGAATATTATTTTAAATAAATAATCTTAAGAAAAGTTATAGTATATGTCACAAGGATTTTGTACATATAAAGAACGTTGAAATCCGACTTATAACGAAGAAGTTATAACCAATTGAAGTTTTGTAATTTAAATCGGGGGATAATGTCATAAAAAGCCTTAAGTTTGGCAGAAAATATCGGTTTTACCCTTTGGCAGATTTTTGGTTCGTTTATACCGTAAATTTGTCATTTTTTTGTTGGTTTTGCCCTTGTTACCTGCAATAGCAGGTTTCCAGATTATTATGAATTATTTTTTTGCAAAAAAACCCTTAAGTTTACAAATATTTTGCAAAAAAACCCTTAAGATTATAAACATATAAAATATAAATATATATTCAAAATTTTATAAAACTAAATAGTTTTCTACTGAAATATATTTTTAGCTTTACATACGGTAACTTTTATATTTGTTTGATATAAACTTTTTATATTTAAATTTTAAAAAACTTACTTAGTTTTAACAAAATTTGAATATATTTCTTAATTAATACTTCAACTTTTCAAAACAAAATTAAAAAACATTTGTTAGTTAATAAGTAATTATGCTAAAATAGTTATTATGAATAATATGGTATCATGTACATTCAATTAATTTTTTTAAAAGGTAAATAAAAATATTTTATATGTTTAAAAGGTTTGTATTTCAGAAATACTAACATATCGTATTTTTTATATGTTTAAATACATAATAATATTATCATATTTTTTTATAAAAATATCATAAACATGTTAAACATCAAAAATAAATATAAACATTTTAAACATATAAAATATAAATATATTTGTCTAATTTATTATATAAATATATTTATTTTTATATAAAATATGATAGTTTATTATTTCTGAAATTCAAACCTTTTAAACATATAAAATATTTTTATTTTTCTTTTAAAAAAAATTAATTGAATGTCACTAATGTTATATTATTATTAGCTAACAGACGTTTTTTAATGTTACTTTGAAAAGTTTAAGTATTAATTAATAAATATTTAAATTTTGATAAAACTAGGTAAGTTTTTTAAAATTTAAATATAAAAACTTTATATCAAACAAATATAAAATTTACTGTACATAAAGCTAAAAATATGTTTCAGTAGTAAACTATTTAGTTTTATAAAACTTTGAATATATATTTATATTTTATATGTTTATAATCTTAAGGGTTTTTTTGCAAAATATTTGTAAACTTAAGGGTTTTTTCGCAAAAAATAATTCATAATAACCTGGAAACCTGCTATTGTAGGTAACAAGGGCAAAACCGACAAAAAAATAACAAGTTTGCGGTATAAATGAACCAAAAATCTGCTGAAGGGTAAAACCGACATTTTCTGCCAAACTTAAGGTTTTTTGTGACATTATCCCTTTAAATCGGTATAACTCTGTGTAACGTAAAAAGTAATTTTTTGATAAAATACTTTTTAGACTTAGTATTCGTTAAACCGAGAGAGTGCATATAGAAAACGTTCAAATCTGACTTCATAAGAGGAAGTTATGATTTTTCAAAGTTTCAACGTAGCAGTATATAACTCAGAAATCGAATTCTAGATCAGTTGATGTTTAGCCGAGATGATCTAAACAAGAATTGAAAATCTCATTAATAGGAGTTCAACGATAAAAAGACAGTCGAAAACGGAGTCCGTATGTAGAAGTTATGAATTTTACACGGTCATTAACAATGTAATCTTCTTAGACTGCCAGATTTAAGATCGGTTGGGGATTAGCTGACAATGTCAAAAGGAAAATTGTAGTAGTCGTTAATACCTATGTGTGGATATAAATAACGTAAAAAACGAAGCTCGTATGTGAAAGCCATGAATTTTTGAAGATTTGTAGTTTTACCTGTGTCCAGTGCCACGTGTCAACACCAAATGAATCCTTGGTGCCTACGCAAGCTCATGACGTGAGAAGCATGTCTTACGACATGAGAGGCCCCTAGACATCCTATAAATAGAGCCAAATTTCACTCTTTTCTTCACACCTTTCCATCCAAACTCTTCCAAAACCCTCCTAAGGTCCCAAGACCTTTCTCTAGCGCTTCCTAGGTGTTTGTAGTGAACCTCCGGAGCGTCAGAAAGCTCCGAGAAGTAGAGATTTTGACTCAGAAGCTCTGTCCACGTAAAGTCTGGTTTCTCACTAAACCACCTGTAAGTTAAGTTATGCTTAGAGTACTTCAAGTATAACTTATGTTTAAGTTCATTATCGTTATTATGAACCTATAAACAAGATTTATTAGTGGTTCCAAGTCATTATACTGATTGATATACTTAAAAGAAAGGTGTCTAGAATGGTCACGTTGGCTTGGTTGCTGAATTTCAGAAAGGCTATATGCCGAAATGATCCTACCTCCCAACCGTCCTGTCTGGCTGATCCTTACTTGATAGATCTTGAAGTAGACTTTGAATTAATGATGAATCTAGACTTTGAATTAGTCGCAAGAAATATTAGACTAAGACTAGTTATAATAATACTAGGTTACGTCGAAGGAAAAGACCGTTGCTAGGAGCGAAACACTGTCCGATTTTCAAGTCGTCACTTTAACAATTGAGTGCATAGTCTCTTTCATGAACATGATTTTTAATACAATTATTAATTAAAGTATTACATATTTGTTAAAGGGTTATGTGTGAGATATTTTCTATTGCCTGAAATATGTGTTAAGAACATATCTGATAATATATGATGATTTAGGACTTACAAAATAAACTTATATTAATTAAGATGAATATCAGATAGTATCTCCTTAATAGTACGATTGAGATATAAACGGAGGGTAGAACTCTAAAATTTGTCTTTGATTTGTGAGTATGGATTAGACATAGTCATCCGTCCCTAGTCCGAGAGTATAGAGTAGGCATAGTCATTTGCTATTTATCCGAGAGCATGGATTAGACATATTTGTTCATACCTGATCAGGGAGTATGGATTAGGTAAAGCCGTTCATTTTAGATCTGAAAGTATGGATCGTGTTGTTGTGAGGATCGACAGGGTGGGGTAAATTGCTTATATGAGGTGAAATTGTATCTTGTGAGTTCATATATATATATATATATATATATATATATATATATATTATATATATATATATATATATATATGTTATAATATTGTCTGATTGAAATTCTTATGTACTCACCATGTTTCCCAACATGACCAACTCAGTTTATTGTATCACATGTAACGATATCAGGGATATATTATGCTGAGAGATTCAAGGAGTATTAGGCCACTAGTTTAATTATTGTAAGGCTTGTAATATTTTGTTATACTTATATTTATGTATTGACGATGGAATCTCAATGATTTAATATAAATAAAATACATTTCTTTAGAAATGTTATGATAATATCATTATCATGTTTTTTGGGAACAAATTTCGCAATATTATTCTTCAAAAAGGATACTCTGATTTTTAAATAAGCATAAACTAATAGGTCTTTTCTAGCCGTGAAAATTAGGGATGTCACAAATGTCAATCTCAATATATTTAGTTCATTGATGATGAACCTAGTTATTGGAGGTATACATGGAGTTGGAAATATTGTAGTGAACAATGGTGGCTTTGGCAAGAGGATTGCATAGTTCACACAGAAGATTGTGAAGCTAACAGGTTTCAATTAATACATTCATGAATCTTCTATAATCTGCCTTGACACTGGATATGGAGACAATAGGTTGTTGCTTAGAGGACTAGGATATGATACTATCATTAATGACCATGGTAGTTGCTAGTACAGAGACGTGATGTAGTTGCTAGTAGAGAGATGTGATGAGGGATATCTCCTATATCAAGTCCCACACACATATCGTAAGATGCATTTAAGTGTATATAGGTGAGGTTCTTGAGGATGATACACATAGAGTCATATTTGTTGAACAAAAAAAGAGAGACGCGATCGGGTAAAAGCCAATTATTACACGCTATCAACCATGTTACAGTACAAGGTCGAGTTTGAAACTAGTGTTCCTACTTCATGAAGCTTTGATTGCATGTCATTGGGAGTATGAAAATGGTTACAAATAGCCATATTTGACATTTTAAGTATCTCATGGGCGTACTTCTAAGAGAAGAACATTCCATGGGAATTTTCGGTGACAGAGCTACCCAAGAAGTACGATAAGTCTCAAGGATCTGTCATAGCAAATTTCCTGCCCAAGAAATAAAAAATGTGGTGAAGCAGCTCTCTAGAGGAAGCTGTTAAATTAATGTCGTCAACATAATGCAAGTAATCCATATGAGATCTCTTCTAGAAAATAAACAAAAAACTAATCAGATTGTTATGAACAAATCAGTTGTTACTTATAAAAGAGGCGAAGCAATGGGACATACTCTTCGACATTTATTGAGCCATAGAGAGACTTCTAAAGATGGAAAATAGAGTATGGGTGTTGCGGGTCATGGAAACCCAGAGATTGATGCATATAAAAAGTCCCATTTAGTTAACCATGTAAAACGTGTTTTTTACATCAAGTTGATGAACTGGACAATGATGTGAGATGGCAAGGATCAATACGGT